CTGTTTTAAGACCACCACCTCAATTTGAAGCTTCTCGGGTGTAAGGGGGGAATTCTGTGCTAACAGAGCCAGTGTCATTTGACAGGCGTCAAATTAAGAATGCTTTTTTTAAAAAGCCTTTCTGATGAAAAGAGGACAAACATTCTAGGGCAGGGTGTGGAAATTAATTTTAAAAAGCCTAATGAACCTGGCTATAAGAAATAAAGATGGGGGATTTAAAAAAAACAAGTTCGTTCTGGAATTTTAACAGCTAGTACCATTTAGAGAAGTTGTCTTAGTCAGTGACTGCTAATTGGAGAAGTTGTTTTCAACTATGCTTGCAGTAACTTGTCAAAATAAATTCTGGGTCGTTTTAAAGAGCTTGGGTAAACAAACTGATGTTGCATAATGGATGTCGGGTGTCTTTTCTCTGTGTTGTACTGTAACATAATAAATTACCACATTCTGAGCAAAAGTGAGTGTGTGTGTGTGTGTGTGTGTGAGTGAGTGAGAGAGAGAGAGAGAGAGAGAGAGGATGTAAAAATTGCTTTGTTCTAAAATTTAGTCTCCATAGACTAAAATTAGCGAATTAAATGTCATTTTGCATCTTCCATATCCAATTTCTCCCATGTTTTTATTCTCCAGAAGATATCACAATGGTCATCTGCCCTGGAATAGCTAATCACAGTGAGAAGCAGTACATCAGAACCTTTGTTGACTATGCTCAAAAGAAGGGCTACCGATGCGCTGTGTTAAATCACCTTGGAGCCCTCCCAAGTATTGAACTGACTTCGCCACGCATGTTCACTTATGGTAAATATTGGCTCACTCTTCCATCTTCTCCTGTTAGTGTTAGTCCCTAGCATGCCCTGTGTCCCTAGTGTCAAAGGTATGGGTGGGTCTGATTTGATCGGTAAACTTTCTTTCCCCCCCCCTCCCCCTATCTCCAACGCCCTTTTTATTTGCTTTCGTAGCAAAGAAATGAAAAAGTTTGGTTCTCAAGTTACACTGGAAGTTTGGAAACCGGAAGCCAATATTAACATTTGTACAGAAGAAAGAAGAAAAGAAAAATTAAACATGGTCAAGGCAAAGCAATGGTTGTTGGAACCTGCAATCTATCAATGTTCTTTGGGGGAGAAAGCAGCCAGTCTCTCCGTGCTTTTTTGTCCAGGGGGTGTGTGTCATTTTAGCTGTCCCACTACTCTCCATTCCTTGGAGTGTGGGACGTCTGTTTCGGGGGCCACACCATCCGCCAAGAGCCTCCGCACCCGTTTTTTGACAGCCATTAAAACAGATTCCATAGCCCATACAACTCAATATTCAGTATCGCTGGATGGACGGTGGCCCAAACAACAGGGACTGAATCAGGGACCTGGACATTTCAAGGGAAGGAGTGGGCAGAGAAAAACAGAACCTTTGGGAAACCAAATCTGGCCATCTAAGGAAATCCGGGGGAGGAAACACCCTACAAAATGCCAGTTCAGTAAACTTTGAAATGACTCAGGTCACATTTTTACTGTAATTAGGTTACTTTTACAGTAACCTAATGAGCTTGGCTTGGCTTGGCTTTGCCTCATCATGTGAGCCCAACCAGGATTGTGGTCTGTTAGAAAAGATAAACATGTTGTTCAATCCTTCTAAGGAAAAACAAATATGACAGAAGGGTAATTCAATGAAAAAAGACCTTTTTCAACATGTGCATGTTTTTATCTGCCCGAAGAGAAAAGACAGAGAGAAGACCAACTGACATTTTCTCCTAAGAATATACATGCAATGCTGTAATATCAGTTTCTTTAGCTTGACATATAGTGCCAGAAAAGGGAGTAAGAAACACCATATTTTTTGGAGTATAAGACGCATCCCCCGCCCCAAAAGTGAGTGAAAATGTCTGTGCGTCTTATACAGCTTATACATGCTGGGAGGTAGAGGCAGGTTTTTTTTTTAATTGTTTTACTTCCCAAAAGCTAGGTGCATCATATAGTCCAAAAAATACAGTAGTTTTTCAACGACAGTAGTTTGGAAGAGTAGCACAAGCTGATACTTCATAAAACCCAAGAGATAGGAGTTAACACCAAAGGAAGAATTTGTTTTTCCATTGATATCCTGTTGGCTTCTGCCATTCCTTGTATCCTGTTGTTTATGATGAGTATTTCAAATCTCTAGTGTAAAAGCCTTTGGTACCACTTTTAAAAAGTAATTATTATTATTATTATAGTCTGCAGCCTCAGGAGATTATTCTGGAGTGTTATTGAGCAATAAAAATGTTACTGTAACGCTCTACCCTTATCTTTTATTTCTCCTATGCTTTATTTAACTATACTCAGGTTTGATACTTGAAAACTCTGTACTGCTATGAGAATAGAATACCATCATTATTCATAGCGGTGGTGGCATTCAACTGGTGTAACAACCGATTCGCTTTGCATATGCACGTGTGCTTTGCGCACGGCAAACACACACTGCACGCCCACACATTGCATTTGAAATCAGCACTAAGTCTTACCTTTTCCTGCAGCCCCAGTGAGTAAAACAGCTGAGATGCGGCAATCCGCTCTGCTCTGTCGATAAGCTGGGCTTCAACCAAAGGAAATAGAGGACAGAATAAAGCAGGGGCTGGTGGGCGGGGCCAACAGATCGCCGGAACTACCGGTTCGCCCAAACTGGTCCAAACCGGCTGAATCCCACCCCTGATTCATAGTGTCTGGTTTTCACTACATGTAATAATCCTCCGTTTCTTATTTTATGGTTCTTAAAATGTTCATCATTTCTTAACTATGATTAGATTATTTTTTAATGTATAGAAGTCTTCAAGAAATGTGGGAAATTATAGTTCCGCTTGCAACTTGGCAACTTTAAAACTTATGGACTTCGGTTCCCAGAATTCACCAGCCAGCATGTCTTTGTCTTCACTGTTTCATAGGTTGCACCTGGGAATTTGCTGCTATGGTGACCTACATCAAGAAGACATATCCTCAGTCCAACCTTGTTGTTGTTGGCTTCAGCCTGGGTGGAAATATAGTGTGCAAATATCTTGGGGAATCCCACACTAACCAGGAACAGGTGCTCTGCTGTGTCAGTGTATGCCAGGGATATAGCGCATTGAGGTAAGTTGACTTATGAGCTTTGTTGTAGTAGAGCAGGAAGTGAATATGGTTGCGAAGTGCTTTTGCTGAATGCAGAGGAAGTAAACCATTTCTACATACCTTGTTTTCCCCAAAAATAAGACCTCCCCGGATAATAAGCCCAATTGGGCTTTTGAGCATATGCCCTAAATAAGCCCTCCCCTGAAAATAAGCTCTCCCCGAAAATATTTAAATGCATGCGCAGCCGGTCCCCACCATTTCCTCTGGTTGTTTGTTGCACAAATAACACGAGGTGAGGAGGCGAGGCTGGAGGGGGAAGGGAGGGGGAACATGTCCCATGCACCCCACACTCCCTTTCCTAATGACCACTCTCAAACCCTATCCACCGCACCCCTTCGGTCATGCTAATGGCCACTGCAAAAACAGCAGCAGGCCCAGCAAGGCACAACACAGCAGCAGCCATGAGGTGACCACGCTCCCCCGCCTCCTGCACCTCAAAAATAATAAGATCTCCCCGAAAATAAGGCCAAGCGCTTATTTCAGGGAGTCAAAAGAAAATAAGACCCTGTCTTACTTTCGGGGAAACATGGATTCTTGTATTCAACCTATACCTCTTTCTGGTCCTTTTTCAAGGTACTGTCTTTTCTGAAATTATGACAATAGAAGGCAACATTTCAGCTAGACATTCTTCACATAGGCAGATCTGAAACCCTGGTGGTTCTGCAATTAGAATTTCACGAAAGAAAAAAGCAGTGAGAAAAATGTTTGAAACATTATACCTCTGCTTGCAATTCTTCCACTTAACATAATGGCTTTCCAAAGCTTTCAGAATTTTTAGAATTGCATTATCTAATTAAACTTCTAAGATTTAGCAATCATCTTAACATATTCAGTAATAGCAATAGCACTCAGTCTTATATACAGTGTTTTACAGCCCTCTCTAAGCAGTTTACAGAGTTGACATATTGCCCCAACAATCTGGGTCCTCATTTTACTGACCTCAGCAGGATGGAAGGCTGAGTCAACCTTGAGCTGGTCAGGATCGAACTGCTGGCAGTTAGCAGTTGGCAGAGTTAGCCTGCAGTACTGCATTTTAACCACTGCGCCATCACAAATTAACCCAAAATTCATGTAAAATGCAATAAAGGAAAAACTGCAATCAGGCAAAAAAACCAAACCTCAATATACTACAGATAGGAAATTATTATAGAAATATAATAGAAATTAATTATAGAAATAATTAAAAGATCTGAACGAATAAAAGCAGTTATCTGTTGCTGGGGGGAAAATACTACCTCTTTAGTAGAGTATTCTATTTTTCTGGGGAGAAACCTCATGTGATCTTTCAGTCTGGTTTGGTTAAGTCCAACACTAAAAGGAATACAACCAATTATCTTAATCTGTCAAGTATTGGTTTATCATTCCAACACAAGTAATTCATGGGTTAAAAGTCTCTTCCAAGTTTGATTTCCATTTTAAAATTGCTAACTTGGCCCAGAATGTTATTGAAATCCAATACTACAACTACATCTTAACTAAATAAATGCTAGACTGGCCAAAATTAAGGGACTTTATATTTGAAAGTCTATACAACAGATAGATCTTATTAGAGTGCCAAAAGCACACTAATTATCCAGTAGAATTGAGCCATAACTGTTTCAACTCGGTTCGACTCTTAATTTCTACAGATTTTATATTTCAGGCTATGAAGTGGCAGCAATTTTGTCCAGATTAGATCTTTAAAAGCAATAGGATTAGAATGATGCAAGATTTATATTTTACGTCTGATTTCGTTCTTCCTCATACTTGTCGAATTGGACTGGAGGGAAGTGGGGGGAATACTGTACTTAATGAGGAAATGGATCCAACACTTTGTTTTTTGGAAACAGCTTGACAAGATGATGTTGCATGTTCCATGGGTATGCAGTCAAGGAGTTTGAAAGACCATAATATAACACACACACAAAAATTCCTTGAACTAAGAACTGAGGAATGAAGTAATGTTTTCCCTGCCGAACCTGGCTAAATATTAAAAGAAGCTTTCAAGTCAGAATCCTGGGTTAATCTGTATGTACTTTGCCAGCTTTTGCAACGTCTGATCATTTAACTGATTTTAGAAATGACCCTTTGAGACAGCATAGGAAACCATACACTCTTTTCGTGAATTTTTCTTTTGCAAGTTGTTGGCAGCTGTTTTTGAGGGTTTTGTTCCCTCTAACGGTTGACTTTTTAATAGCACTTCTCCGTGCCATTGCCTAAGTTGTTGGAGCCATTGTTAATCCTCAACATACGACTCTTAATGGAGATTGCCAATTACAGCTGCATGTCGTTTCCATCATAAAACTTTTTTTGCAGCTGTCGTTAAGCAGAGTCATAAAACAAATGCCCTAGTTCAGTGTTTCTCAAACGTAGCATCTTTTACGTTGGGTGTACTTTAACTCTCAGAATTCCCCAGCCAGCAAGGAATTCTGGGAGTTGAAGTCTGCTCATCTTAAAATTGCCAAGGTTGAGAAACACTTCCCTCGTTATTAAAGGAGCACCACATTGTTCACTAAATCTGGGTTTGCCCAGAACCAGAAGTGCCGATTTTCAGCAAAACTGTACCGAAATGCAATCATGTGATTGCAGGATACTACAAATGGCCATCGGTGCAGCCATGTTCTTGAGTGCCAGAGGTTCGGTCACATGATCGTAGGGGGGGGGGTGACAGTCATAACTTCAGAATTGGGTTGTGCTCTCCCTTTTTCAGGTAAGTCATAACTTCAAATGGTCGCTAAGCAACCAGTCATAAGATGAGGACTACTTGTATTGGTGGTCCCCAAGAAAAAAAAAATAAAGGAGCAAAGTCAACCTCTTGTCATCATAACTTGACAAAAACTTTCATTAATTGGTTTTATTTTTATTTCCCCCTCTATCCTTGTTAGGGCACAGGAAACCTTCATGCAATGGGATCAGTGCCGGAGATTTTACAATTTCCTCATGGCAGACAACCTGAAGAAAATCATCTTGTCTCACAGGTACAGGAATATTTTTATTTATTTTATTTTATTTATTTAGTTTGTCAAACATGTACAAGATATCAGGCATAAGTATAAAGATGGACATGAACAAGGAAATGAATACAAATAAATGGGGACAGTAGGACAGGGACAAAAGGCACGCTGGTGCGCTTATGCACGCCCTTTTATGGTGAGATCCACAGTAGACAGTTTAAGGTTGAAACTGTGGGGGTGATGATGAGGATGATTTGAGGATGTAACAACGGAGTCAGGTAGAGCATTCCAGGCGTTGACCTCTCTGTTGCTGAAGTCGTATTTTCTGCAATGGAGTTTGGAGCGGTTCACCTTGAGTTTGTATCTATTGTTGGTCCGTGTATTATTGAGGTTAAAGCTGAAGAAGTCATTGACAGGTACATATCTGTTTTGCTCTCAACGAGTCTTAATGTACCGCATATTTGTGTTGGGTGGATTGCAGTTTTTACTGCCTCAAGCAAAGTTAGTTAATCAGGTTGGATAGATTATTCACTTGATTCATCTGGATGAAAACTAGGGCATTTAGCTTAAGAAATTGTCTGTTATGACCAGAGACTGGAAAATAGATTTTTAAAAAAAAAAAAAAAAACTTTTGGCATATTTTCAGAGCGGCAACCTATATGGAATACGAATAGTTGTAATGGCTGCAGTGATTCCCCCTCAAGGCTTTCATGGCAAGGAACAGGAGGAAGGAAAATCTTTAGGGCAGTGTTTCTCAACCTTGGCGACTTTAAGTCCCGTGGACTTAAAGCTATGCTGGCTGGGGGATTCTGGGAGTTGAAGTCCACGGGACTTAAAGTCGCCAAGGTTGAGAAACACTGCTTTAGGGCATTCAGAGTCTCTTATGGTTTACAGGGTATTGAATCTACTTAATTTGTCCCAGATATCCAAACATTTTGACAACTGCGAGATATTTTAATCTCCCTCTTTTAAAAGAGTCCCCGGTCTTTAAGTACCAGCAACCCTTCGCAAATCTGAAGGATATCTTGTTAATCTGCCAAAAACATTTTGTCTCCATAATAGATCTTTTGTGCTGTCGTGCAGCCCCCGAAGCCAAATTTCCCCAAATGTTTTGTGCTCTACAAGTACAGAACAAAGCTCACACATATGGCCCACAGTCCTCCTTTTGTTCCCAGCTCTTTTATTTCCTTCACAGTCAGATCGCTAATGGTCTCTACCCTCTAATGTATCAAGCCAGATTTCTCTGGTGAACAACATATGTTGAAGTAACTATTCCAAGTGAATTATTTGATTGATCAACACTGTCATATCGCTGTCATTGTGTGTAATTGATCACACTAAGGCTATCTATCAGTCCAGCCTGATGCCTTATTATTTGTATCGCAAAATCTCCTCTGTAAAATGACCCATTGTTGCCTATGAAAAAAAAATGTTGTTGTTGTTAGTTATAAAGTCGTGTCCCACCCATCGCGACCCCATGGAGAACGTTCCTCCAGGCCTTCCTGTCCTCTACCATCTTCTGGAGTCCATTTAAGCTCAGGCCGACTGCTTCAGTGACTCCATCCAGCCACCTCAATCTCTGTCATCCCCTTCTTCTTTTGTCTTCAATCTTTCCCAGCATTAGGCTCTTCTCCAGTGAGTCCTTCCTTCTCATTAGGTAGCCAAAGGACTTGAGTTTCATCTTCAGGATCTGGCCTTCTAAAGAGCAGTCAGGATTGATCTCCTCTAGGACTGACCGGTTTGATCGCCTTGCAGTCCAAGAGACTTGCAGGAATCTTCTCCAGCACCAGAGTTCAGAGGCCTCAATTCTTTGGCAAAAAATTAATAAAATGAAAAAAAATTATGAAAAATAAATGAATTTTAAATGAAAAAAAATAAATGAATTTTAAATGAAAAAAAAATAAATGAAAAAATTAACATATTTTAAATAAAGCTTTGTATGGTAAAACAAAACTTAACTTTTTAAAAAGGCATGCTCAACTGTGTTCATTTTTCCATATTCCAAAACTTATCTGACAAAGCTCAGTTGTTTTCGTTTATAGATTTGATTTTGTTAAATGTATGTAGAACTCAGTGACTATGTTCCTTCCTTCCTTCCTTCCTTCCTTCCTTCCTTCCTTCCTTCCTTCCTTCCTTCCTTCCTTCCTTCCTTTCTGTTTACAATTTTGAAATTGCTATCTAAGTCCTATTGCTATCTATAAAACCATTTTTCAGATAATGATGACATCAAGAGTTAGCAAATACTGTTATCCCTCTGATGCCTGTGATGGGCATAACAACAGCTTTTTTCTCCCCTATGTATTTTAGACAAGCTTTGTTTAGTGAATCTTCGAGAAAGGTACAGACTTTAATGGAAACCGATCTAAGCAGGCTTCACACAGCAACGTCTCTCATGCAGATTGATGACAGCATAATGAGGTACGTAAGAAAATCGTGTTCTTGACGTTTTCTACATAAATGGGTCCATGATCATGATTTCTGGAAATCAAGTTCCCAGTTCCTATGACTATGCTTTAATTTCAGCCACACTTTATTGGGATTCATTTGAAGTTGCACTTGGTGTAGGATGATTTTTGTTTTTTAACTATGGCTCTCGGGATGCTATCAATAGAAATATTGTGTGTAAGTGAAGTTACAGGGCTGAGTAGAATGATTGAGCTGAAAAAGTTAAGATTTTGCTGCATTTCTGTAACTTCAGGTTTTTGCTAGAAAAGTGTGCTAGGAGCCACGGTGGCGCAGTGGTTAGAGTGCAGCACTGCAGGCTACTTCTGCTGACTGCCGGCTGACTGCAATTTGGCAGTTCAA